AAGCATCCGATGCGACTGCCCCCTCCCCCCCCCCCCGCGCCCGCCCCGAGCCGTGGTTATCATGTCCCTCTTGGGTGCTTTCATGCTCGGCTGGCTGATCGGCGCGGCGCCGAGGAAGAGGCCCGCCGCCGCGGGCGGCGCCGCGGGCTCGCGACCGCGTCTCCCGCGTCGAAGGCCGACGAGGCCGCGGCGGAGGCCGGCGCGGAGGGCCAGGCGGGGGCCGGCGGGGAGGTCAAGTCCGAGGCAGGCAGCCCTCGCAAGCATGCCCCCAAAGGCGCCCGCGACCAGGTGGCGACGAACAAGATGATCACTGGCTTGCGTCAGCAGAAGGCTGGCAAGGACCCCGAGAAGGCTGCCAAGGCAGCGGCAGCGCTGGAGATGCGCCAGCAGCTGGGCTGGGAGGAGATGGAGTCGATGGTGGAGCGCTGCAAGGGGAACAAGACCCGCGGCAGCATGAAGTGGGTCGACGACTGGATGGAGACGCGCAGCAAGCACGGCGCCACCGCGGTCGGCTGGAACCAGAATTGGCGCGGCCCTGGGCAGGTGCTGCAGCTTCTCGGTTTGAACCTCGGTGACTTTGAAGCCCGCGAGGATGCGCGGGCCTTCGTGACCGAGGAGGTGCGCCGCAACCAGGTGGCTTCAGGCGCGCTGGAGTCCCACCCGCCCAAGAACGACGAGTCGAACTGGCTGATGTCTCGATGCTTCTGGGTGGTCGACCAGGGGCAGACCAGGGCGGCGGCCCCGCCCCCGCCCCCTCGCCCCCCCCGCTCAGGGGCCCCATCGGCTAAGGGCCCGTCGAGTGGTGCGAATTCTTAAGAAGGAGGGGGGGGGGGGGGAACGGGGGAGGGGATATCGGATGGCAGGATCGAGGGGCGGGGGCGGGGCCTCCCTCTGGGCACCTGCAGGGCGATCACCGGCAAGCGCGCCGCGCAACTGGAGAGCCGCGCCAACGACTGCAAGAAGGCTACCCAGAGCGGGCGGCTCGAATTCCCCCTGGGCGCGCGCGGGGGCGACGAGGTCAAGCAGGAGGGCGACGGCGCCGAAGCGCTCAAAGCCGACAGGCCGCTGAAGAGCATGACCGTTCTGAGAAGGCAGTTCTCCGCCAGGGCCGAGATCCTCGACGGCCCCGTCGTGGGCAAGTGCGCGGAGGCCTCCAAGGACCTTGACATGGTTTGCGATGCGTTAAACACCTACCAGTGTGACGCCGAATCGATCGCCATCCTCGCGGACGATCTCGTGAAGAATGGGATTGTCAAGCTGGAAGCTGCGGGGGGTGGCCATCAAAACCTTCGAAGAGGAGCGCGAGTTGCGCGCCGAGCAGCGCGGCGAGTGGCGGGGGGCGGGCGACGAGCGCGCGAAGAACGCGGCGTCGAAGGTCACCGAGGTGCAGGGCAAGCTTCTCAGGGAGCCGCCAGAGTGGAGTTAAGCCGTGCCAGGAGGTAGGCGCCGGCGGCGACGCTGTTGCTGCGCCCGCCCTGCCTTTTTAGATGCTGCGGCGGGACAAAAAGAAAGACGGGGCCTGTCTCCTCCTCCTCCCCCCCCCCCCCCATCTTGCCCCCTGCCCCTGCTCCTGCTCCGCCAGGGGCTCCCCGGCCAAGGGGCCCCGTCGGCGCCCCCCCCGCCCCCCCCGCCCTCTCGCGCGCCCCCCGCTCTTTTGGACGCCATCTCCGATGAGCGGGCCGATCTTCTCGAGCAACTCGGGCAGGTCGAGTCGCCTGTTTCAGGAAAACGAATTCGCTGTGGCGTGGAGGGGTGCAGAACCAATCCCGAGGGAAGGGGCTGCCATGCTAATCCAGACGCCTCCTCTGGAAGCGTTGCGGCTCGCTGCCCGACGTTTGGTGGGCCACCTCGGCCATGAACAGCGCCCGCTCAGCCACGAGATCACGGAGCTTGTCCCCGTCGTAGTGCTGGCGCACCTTGAAGGAGGTCGTGCTCTCCATTGCCGGCCAGCAACCACCGCGCATAGGGCGCCGCCATCCGAGCTCGCCCTGCGCCCACTCCGTCCCCGTCTCGGCGTTCACGCCCTTGCACGCGGAACGCCGCGTCTCGCAGGAGGCAGACATGGCCAGCCCGAGAGCTTGTAGGCGCCGGCGTTGGCAGCCTAAACAACAAATTGGGCCATCAAACAGCTGCGGCTGGCGAAGCTCCAGCGGGGGCCGCCGCATACCGAGGGGGATGGAGGGGGTGGCGCGCCGAGGGCTCCTTAGCCGAGGAGCCCCCATCAGGCCCTCTTTGCAAAACATGTTTCGTTCGTGCACCTTTTCGTTCGTGGCCCCCGCGCGCCCCGAACTGCCCCGCCACCCTGCGCTGAATTAGTTAGTTGCGCGGTGCTGGGCGGCCGCATCAGCCGGCCCATTCGCGCTGTAGTGAACATTAAAATGCAGGCACCAACGGCGCGCGTCCTCCGCGTTACATTCGCAACCCTCGCGCGCGCGCGGCGGGCAGGGTCGGGTCAGGGGGGGGGGGGGGGGGGGGGGGGGGGGGGGGGCTGCTTGCGAGGGGCGCGGGCAAGGCGGATGGGGCGCCGACGGAACTCCTTGGCCGAGGAGCCCCTGGCCGACGACGATGACGACGATCGACGACGGCGAGATCGAGAGCGCCGCCCCGCACAGGCGGCGGTGGCGCTCATGCGCGCCACGCGCTGCAGCGCAAGCAATGAAAACTTGGCCAAAAAATATGTTTCATTTCTCTATCTCATATTGTCGCCTTGATCCCCAGCTGTCTAAGGCCATCCGGTGTCACAAATCTGGACCGGACCTGGCCCTTCTTTCTGCTCCTCCTCGCCGTTCCTGTTTCCTCTTCCCCCCTCCCCTCGTTCTTGTCGTGGTCCGGTGTGCGGGGCGAGTCGAAAGGTTCCAGATCGGACCCCAGGCAGTGCCCGACGGGACAGCGCCGGGGGCCGCGCAGGCTCCCGCGGAACGGGCGCCAAGGTGAGGAGGGGGCGGTGAGGAGGAGGAGGAGGAGGAGGAGGAGGAGGAGGAGGAGGAGGAGGAGGAGGAGGAGGAGGAGGAAGAGGAGGAGGAGGAGGAGGAGGAGGAGGAGGAGGAGGAGGGGGAGGAGGAGGAGGAGGAGGAGGAGGAGGCGGAGAGGAGGAGGAGGAGGAGGAGGCGGAGGAGGAGGAGGCAGGAGGGAGGGAGGAGGGAGGGAGGGAGGGAGGGAGGAGGGAGGGTGGGAGGGAGGGAGGGAGGGAGGGAGGGAGGAGGGAGGGAGGGAGGGAGGAGGGAGGGTGGAGGGAGGGAGGGAGGGAGGGAGGGAGGGAGGGAGGTAGGGGAGGAGGAGGAGGGAGGAGGGAGGAGGAGGGGGAGGAGGCGCGAGGAGGGAGGGGGAGGCCGGACGGGGCCAGGGCGAGGAGATCTCCGTTCCAAAGCGTTCCGGAGCGTTCCCAGGGCGTTCTGGGGCGCTCTGAGAGAGCCGCGGCGCCCGAGAACCTTTCCAGAGCCGCCGGATCTCAGAGCTTCCCGATGTATTCTCGCCCGGTTGTCGGAGGCCTGGAAGTTGACACCGGCACCAATACCAGCGGTGTGCCGCGACCGAGGGAAGGTGCTCCCGATCCCGGTGATGGTAATCTCACGGCTTTCCAGGTGGCCGGCATATTACCAGCATCACCGAAATCTAGGCTCATATTCTCCCATTGCACGCCCCCCCCCCTGTTCTGGTTTTGGTGCCCATTTCCAGGCCTCCAAGATTTTGTCTTCGTCTCGGCTTCGTCCCAGGCGGGATGGGGGGAGCGGCGGCGCTACTTCGCTTTGGTTCAAAGGGGAAAAACACAGGCACAGTGAATCGCCGATTCTCAGGAAAAAATGCAGGAAACTGTAGTAAGTGGGGGGAAGACGAAAACCCAGAACATATCAGAACACATAGGGGGATCCTGGGATTAGTTTGTACGTATTTGTGTTTCCCTGGGCCCCTTCATTGGCGCCCTGTCTTTTCGCGGCCCGCCTGAAACCAGTGATTTCTGAGGCGGCTCACCGTGTCAGGAACGTGCTCCGCGACACGAGGCGTTCGGCCGACGGCGCTGGGGAGCCCAGTGCCGCGGAAGAGTACACGCGCAAACGGACGCACCTACATCTTGAGGCATCTTGGGCTATCTCGTGCCATCTTGGAGGTCATCCTGGGCTCTCTCGGGCCCTCTTGGAGCCGCGTTGGGCCATCTTGGATGTTCTGACCGCTCGCGGGGCGCCCCCCCCCCCTCCATGTCCAGGGGAGGGGGTTCGGGAGGGTGGGTAAACCACTCCCCGAAGGGGAAGAAGGGGGTTGGAACGAGGAGCCTCTCTACAGACCACCTGCGCCCAGAGGGCTGGTGGGAAGAAGCGCAGGCTCTCCTGCGCGGCTGCTCCATGCCCCTGTCATAGCTCGATGTTGTGAAACTGCCCGTGCGAGTGCTGGAAGGTGCCCCATGCATACCCTCCAGAAGCCTTTATTTGTGACCCCCCCCCCTGGAGCTCCCGGCGCTGAATAAACTGGCCCTCCCTCCTCCCTCCCTCCTCCTCCTCCTCCTCCTCCTCCTCCTCCTCCTCCTCCTCCTCCTCCTCCCTCCTCCCTCCCTCCCTCCCTCCCTCCCACCTCCTCCCTCCTCCCTCCCTCCCTCCCTCCCTCCCTCCCTCCTCCTCCTCCCCTCCTCCTCCTCCTCCTCCTCCTCCCCCTCCTCCTCCTCATGACGCTACTCCCGTCGACTTTCGGGACCACCCACGCCCGGGAGGCATGGCGGGCTTTGCTCGGGCGCCCCGGCGGGCGCCCGCTCGGTGCTCGTCCCCTATGGCCCGCGGTGCCTCGGCCTTGGCCGACTCCCCCCAGGGTTAAGTCGGGCCTGTCCCCCTACAGTTTTTTTTTCGACGCAGAATTAAAAAAATACACCCAAAATGATATGAGTATGTTGGACCTTTTGGGGTATGTTTGGACCTTTTCGGGGTATTTTGGCCACCTCGGCGCGTGCGCGGGGAAGCCCGCCGCCGCACCTCCGGGCGGGGAGGGGGCGCGTTCCGCGCGCGCTCTGCGGCGAGGAGTCCCGCCTGGACTGGGAGATCATGACGGACGACGTTTCTTTGTCTTCGTTTGACCCTCGCCTTCTCTTTCTTTGTTTGTTTCTTTGTTTGTGTGTTTCTTTTTGTCCCAACCAACCTGTGTTGTTGGGTCCTCGTTTTGAAGAGACGGTCCCCGCGTTCCTTCTCCTCCTCCTCCTCCTCCTCCTCCTCCTCCTCCTCCTCCTCCTCCTCTCCTCTCCTCCTCGCCCTCCTCCCTCCTCCTCCCTCCTCCTCCCTCCTCCCCCTCTTCCCTGCGTTTCATTTACCCAGTGCAGCGTTTCGTAGCCCCATAGGGAGCTCCACCGACGGCCCCAGTGCCACCGTCCACATGCGTCCCCCCCACTCAGTACAGCGCTTCGTGGCCCCACAGGGAGCTCCACCGAAGGCCCCAGTGCCACCGTCCACATGCGTCCCCCCCACTCAGTACAGCGTTTCGTGGCCCCATAGGGAGCTCCACCGAAGGCCCCAGTGCCACCGTCCACATGCGTCCCCCCCAATCAGTACAGCGTTCGTGGCCCATAGGGAGCGCCATCGAACGGCCCAGTGCGCGTCCACATGCGTCCCCCCCACTCAGTACAGCGTTCGCGGCCCCAAGGGAGCTCCACCAAAGGCCCCATTCCCTGAGGCGGTCCCCAATGCCGACCCCCAGTACAGCGTTTCGTGGCCCCATAGGTGAGCTCCACCGAAGGCCCCAGTGCCACTGTCCACATGCGTCCCCCCCACTCAGTACAGCGTTTCGTGGCCCCACAGGGAGCTCCACCGAAGGCCCAAGTGCCACCGTCCACATGCGTCCCCCCCACTCAGTACAGCATTTCGTGGCCCCATAGGTGGCTCCACCGAAGGCCCCAGTGCCACTCAGTACAGCGTTTCGTGGCCCCTAGGGAGCTCCACCGAAGGCCCCAGTGCCACCGTCCACATGCGTCCCCCCCACTCAGTACAGCGCTTCGTGGCCCCATAGGGGGCTCCACCGAAGGCCCCAGTGCCACCGTCCACATGCGTCCCCCCCACTCGGTACAGCGTTTCGTGGCCCCATAGGGAGCTCCACCGAAGCCCCCAGTGGGACCGTCCGAGTGCGTCCTGAAACACCGAATTTGGATTTTCACCCACCCAGTACAGCGTCTCGTGGCCCCTTAGTGAGCTCCACCGAAGCCTCCAGTGGGACCGTCCGCATGCGTCCCGGAAGCCCAATTTGGCATTTTCACGCACCCAGTACAGCGTTTCTTTGCCCCATATGGGAGCTCCACCGAAGCCTCCAGTGGGACCGTCCGCATGCGCTCCGGAAGCCCAATTTGGCATTTTCACTACCCAGTACAGCGTTTCGTGACCCCATAGGGAGCTCCACCGAAGCCCCCAGTGGGACCGTCCGCATGCGTCCCGGAAACATTACTTGACACACCACTCACCCAGAACAGCGTTCCCCACCACCCAGTGCAGCGCTTCGTGGCCCCATAGGGATTTTCACCGAAGAAGATTTCACAATTAATGTACCCACAACTGCATATGTTGGGTCCTTCCCCAGGATTTTTTTTGTTTTTTTTTTTTTCTTCTCTCTCTCTCTCTTTCTCTCTCTCTGTGTATACATATGTGTGTGGATTCGTATACCCCTTCCCTCCCTCTCTCTCTCTCCTAATACCTCTTTCTTTCTTTCTCTTTCTCTCTTTCTCTCTCTCTCCCCCTCCCTTAGGTTCCCTCTCTCGATATTTTACTACGGCTCTCTCGGTAAGCTTCTTTTTGGGACAAGTTCTTTCAGGGAGGATTCTTCACTAACGTTCTCGTAGTGTGGATTACATAGCACCCCGCAATTGCGGGTAAGAGTGAGGGGGCGGGCGCGGGCCACGCGGACGTCGTCGAGCCAGCGGACCTCGTGGCCCCCACCTTCTGATGGTCTCTCCTCCTCCTCCTCTCTCGTCCTCCTCCTCCTCCTCTTCCTCGTCCTCGTCCTCGTCGTCATCGTCATCCTCCTCCTCCACCTCGTCCTCCTCTTCTTCCTCCCCCCTCTCCCCCCCTCGTCCTTCCATCATCGTCCTCCCATTGCCGTCCACCCCCTCATCGGCCTCCATCATCGTCCTCCCATTGTCGTCCATCATCATCATCCTCCCCCTCCTCCCCCTCCTCCCCCTCCTCGTCCTCCTCCTCCCCCTCCTCCCCCTCCTCGTCCTCCTGCTGCTCCTCCTCCCCCTCTTTCCCCACATTATCCTTACAGAATCTCTTCTTTCGCGTCCTCCTCGTCCCCTGTTTACTCCTCCTGCCTCCCCCTCCTTTCCCAAGATAACGGCAACGCAATCCTTTTTTCCACTTTATGCTCCCCGACTTCTCTGATCAAGGCAATTCGCCCGGGCAAAGTTGCTGGACGGGCTGGTGTGGATGCGCGGGGCTTGAAGAGGTCGTTGCGGGCGCAGACGGCATGCAAACATCCGCCGCCGCGCTTGTGCGGCATTGGTTTGTTCAGTGAACGTGGTTTGGGTCGCGGGTGGGTCGCGGGCTCTCCATCTCCACTTGGAAGGAATGCAAAAGCAGCCCGCCGCAGGCGCCGAAAAAATTGGTTTGTACACTGAACGTGGAATGGGTCGCGCGTGGGCCGCGGGTTCTCCACCGGGGGTGAATGCATAAGATGCCCGCCGCAGGCGCCGAAAAATGTGGTTTGTACCCTGATCGTGGTCGCGGGTGGGCCGCGGGCTTTCCACCTGAAGCGAATGCAAAAGATGCCCGCCGCAGGCGCCGAAAAGTGTGGTTTGTACCCTGATCGTGGTTTGGGTCGCGGGTTGGTCGCGAGTTGGTCGCGGGGTGGGTCGCGGGCTCTCCACCTGGAAGGAATGTACAAACAGCCCGCCGCAGGCGCCGAAAATGGTGCTTTGGCCCTTGAACGTGGTTTGGGTCGAAGGTGGGTCGCGGGTGGGTCGCGGGGTGGGTCGCGGGTGGGTCGCGGGTGGGTCGCGGGTGGGTCGCGGGTGGGCCGCGGGTGGGTCGCGGGGTGGGCCGCGGGCGGGTCGCGGGGTGGGTCGCGGGTGGGTCGCGGGGTGGGTCGTGGGGTGGGTCGCGGGATGGGTCGCGGGTGTGTCGCGGGTGGGTCGCGGGGTGGGTCGCGGGGTGGGTCGCGGGGTGGGTCGCGGGGTGGGTCGCGGGTGGGTCGAGGGTGGGTCGCGGGGTGGGTCGCGGGGTGGGTCGCGGGGTGGGCTTTTTTGGCTATACTTAGCTCGTTGCAAGTTAGCTTGAGCGCAGCGGCCAACAGGACTGGCACAGGCTGCACACGAGAAGCCCGAGAGCATGGACGCTGAGCTGCTTCCGCTCTCGTCCCGAAAACTGTCAGGAGAGAGGTATTGGCGCTGAGGGAGGGGAGGAAAGGAATCAGAAACGAGAGAGGAGGAGATTGCAGCGCCGTGCGAAGAGAGACATCAGCGGCACCCTGCTTCGTTGCCCATAGCAGGGCAGCCCTCGATGCAGAGAGCAGTGCAAGGCAGGAAAAAGAAAAAACCTGCCTGGGAGCGCCTTCCGAGTTTCGGTCGGCTATTGAGAGGGAAGAGCTGGACGGAGGGCCAAAATGGCCAGGCCGCATTGCGGCTGTCCAAACCTCCAGGGGAGGAGATCTGGACTGGAGGAAGAGCGGGGGAAATCATAAGAGGCGGGGGGAGGAAAAAGGGCCAAGAAGGCATTGCCGTGTTGCAGGGCGTACGCTGCAGCTGAAAGGCCTGTACGGGCCGACCGCGGCGGGGAGGTGGGTGTGCCTGGGCGCTAGCCGAGACCAGACAACAGGGACCCACCTCCATGTGGCCCCTCACAGGCACACAGGGACCAAGGGGACCCTGCTACACCTGGACGGGGGCCAAAGAGATGCGCCGGGGCAAAGTGCCACGGTCCTCTCATGAGGCACTTGTGGCTAGGACTGTCTAGGTGGTGAGCTGCCACGGCGAACCAAGAGTATTAGGCCAGCCCACCACCTAGAGACTCAGCCGTGGCGAGTCTGCGAATTGCTGTGTGTGCTTAGCCGATCGCTGTTTAGCGAGGCTGCAAAAATGTGCCGCGCTGTCCGCACTAGTGCGGCAAAGTGAGAAGTCGCGCCCATGAATGGCGACTACTCATGGAGGGCCCTCTAAAGAGGGGCCGGTGGAGAAAAGCGCGCTAGTTGGGCTGCCGAGGTAGGTATTAGGCGGCTCCGCCCCTGTGTGGCGCATTGGCGGTTGCACCATGGGCGCCCATCCCACGTAGGCCTGAGATGGTGTCGACAGATGCCGCAAGAGTTGCAGTGAGAGTGTGCACCTGAAGGACTCACTGCAGCGGAATGCATGTCGGCTTGGCCGGCCTTAAATTGGAGACGCGGTGTCTCCTTTGTTTAGGCTCGTGTGATGGCTTGGGCTGTATAGGTGGTGGGCTGCATGCAGACCGGGATCTGAGCAGTGTGCTAATCCACCACCTATGCGTGAGGACTCAGCCGTGGCGAGTCTGCGAATTGAGATATGTGAGCGGCGCTTAGCCGCCTCACTGTTAGCGGGGCTGCCCAAGGTTGCAGAGCCGCACATTGACGGGATAGGCTGGATGCTGCTAGACTCGCGTGGCCTACAACTCAGCTATGCAGGACGGCTCGACCGACCTTGAGTTGGAGCGGCATGGCTCAAGCTGTTTAGGTGGTGGGCTGCCGAGGTAGAGAGAAGACGATGAAAGGATGTGGAAGGGAAAGTATTAGGCGAGCCCACCACCTAAGTGGGCGCGCTGCTAGTTGCGCCGAGGTCGCTTAGGACGACCTAAAAGGGCGCTGACTGATGCAGCACTAATGTGGCTCGCTCAGGCACCGAAGGGCGACGGGTTGAGAGTGCGGGCGGCAGCCGAGAGCGCCGAGAGACCTGCCGCTGTCGCCGCCGCACGCGCCTGGGCCTCTTGCGCGGCAGCCTGCTGCTGGTTGTAGTGGTCCCTCAGCATGGCCTCCACCTCAGAGATGGTCGCCAGGCCTGGGGTCTCGATCCACTCCCAGTCCCAGGTTTCGACGACCTGGCCGTCGACGACGTCCAGCGACTTGA